GTCCAGGGAGGTTAGATGCAGTGCCATAGGCTGTAAGCCTCTTGATGATACTGCGCACAGTGGACACCGGAACATTAAGATCTCTGGAGATGGACTTGTAGCCTTGAGATTGTCTTTTTCCACAATTTTTTTCTCTCAAATTCACAGATAAGTCTTTACACTTCATTCTTTTCTCCATGCTCAGTGTCACACACAACACAAAGGTTGAGAGAACTTTTCTCCATCTTAACTAGTTGCAAGTGTGATTAATATATTGCCCACACCTCTTACTTGCGACAGGTGTTTCTAAATACAAATTAAAGGAGCATCACATGCTTGAAAAGCAGTTATTTCTTACAATTTAGACAGGGTGCCAATAATTTTGGCCAGTGCATTTTTGAGTTTCTGTGTGGGACTGTATTAGATTTGACTTTTCTTCTCTGTTTTTTGTATTGTTCCCGTGCAAACCAAAGAAATGAACATGTGAGTACCAAAACAGTTGCAACTGCAACAGTTTTCAGAGAGAACTGTTGCATTTTCTGACAGAATTGCAGGGGTGCCGATATTTTTGGCGATGACTGTATATGCATACACACAAATCTTGTAGAATATTCAGATAAACAATCTTATAATCTGTACTACATTCCCTTTTAAAGTAAAGATGTAGGACTTTGGGAATATGTATGTTATACAGAATGTTATGTATTTCTTTTGCTTCAGCTCCTTGGTCGGTCAATAGATCTGAACCGCCTGATCACTCAGCGAATTTCAGCAGCCATGTACAAATCTTTGGAACTGGCAATTGGCCGCTTTGAGAGTGAAGATTTGACATCCATTGTAGTAAGTATGGAGAGGCAGTATTCATGTTCACCCTGCACCAGGATCAGGTTGAAGATTGGCAGCCACAACAGATCATCATGAGCTAACGTGAAAGAGTGAGAAGAGCTGCATAACACAGGGCTAAATCCTGCTGTGTAACTTTGCACCTGGAACACCTTGGATCGGATGCCGGAAACGTTTATCTTACACTAATTGAAAGCTTCCTATCTTCCAGTTTTAGGTTCTGAGACACCCTTGAGCTCCTTTTTTGTTTGAGGAATCTTTTGGAGCTTTGAGTGGAGGAGGGAAAGCCTTTACAAGTAAAATATTGGCACTAGGCTGCCACTGCAGGGATTGGGACTGCCACTACCAGTCCAAGAATGATTTCTGGTTTTTAAAGGCTCCCCCCTCATCCTAAGACTCAAAGGCTCTGCCAGGACAAAGGGAGCCCAAAGGGAACCCTGAAGCCTAAAACAAGGGGAGGGGGATAGGATGCTTTTAATTAAAATGTTAATTTAGTCAAAATTAAATGTTTCCAGCACCTGATTTAAGTAGCACTTGGTGTAAAGCTAGGCAACAGGATATTGCCCATTCCATTCCATCCCTCACATCCTCACTTCTCCCCCAATCCCTCGTCTGATCTTCTCCTGTTCAGCATCCTCTTGGAGCAGTAGATGAAAGGTTTTCCATATCTGTCATCCTGAAGTTGTGGCAAGGTTTATAACAAGCAGAACTGGGCACGGAGAATGTGAGAGAGTGACCACCTGTGGATACTTTCAGTGATCCCCAAATGGTTATTCCTTTGGTGGCCTGGCTTTCTCCTCTCTCTCATCCTTATACCATTCTTTCAAATCATGATCTCTTCTATCAAGAGAGTGTCCCACTCCAGTTCTGGAGGAAAAAGAAGGGGAAAGCACTGAGAGCAAAGCTTTCAAACAAAGCCAAGAGAAAGCCATTTTTCAGAGTGCCTTTTAAAACATGTGAACATGTCCAGTGCATTTAAAAATACACAATAATTCCTCCTTCAAGGGAAGACTATAATTATAAATAGAAGTTTACTAATGTATATCGTTCTAAAAACCTGTAACAGGGGAACCTTTTCCTTTGGCACACAAGTTTAAAATTTGTAATAAACTTTACAAAACGTATACATTTGAATATATATTCTAAAATTTGTAACAGATTTCACTGAATTGCCCCAGTTCCGTGAAGAAGAGGTGCATGCTCTCAGTTCTATCTTATGTGATGTGAGACAAAGTGGCACAATCATGGGACATACCTGCTGTTTGCTGTGGAGCCATGACCTCATCCCAGTGCTCTGTACCATGTCAGGATTGAAGGGTTATGGCATACTGCTGTTAGGAGTACCTGATTGACCTTTTCTGCTTTGAATTATTTAGTATAGAGGCCGGGAGTCATTGTGCCTTCACCAAGTATTGATGGAACTTAGACATTCCATCACTGCCTTTCACTAGACTTTAGTCAGATATTTAAACAAAGGGAAGACGTTTTATCAGAATAAAAGTTGCCATTGATTGATGTTATTAGGAAGAGGTCTTAAAAAAAAACATAATGGCTGAAATTCTATTGCGTAGTGTAGTAAGTTGCAGTCAGAGTAAGCCCACTGAATCAGTGGAACATAAAAGAGCTGACTCACCAAATCCCCGCTGTTTCAGTTGACCTACTCTGGTTATGACTTACTGTGCTTAGCAAAAGGATTCCAGGCTGTTGGAAGTGGTCTAAGTGTAGATATGTTTCTAGTATTGATAGGTTTTTGTGTTTTGCTGTGAAGTTTCATCTCTTTTGATAAGATTTTCATTGCGCTCACTTCCTTTTCTCTTTCTCCTTTTGCCACCTCATTTATGAAATAAAAATCTCAGGAGTTGGATGGGCTGGTAGAAATAAACAAGATGACACACAAACTCTTGAGTAAATACATGACTTTGGACAGTTTCGATGCCATGTTCCGAGAAGCAAACCATAATGTATCGGCTCCGTATGGAAGAATAACCCTTCATGTCTTTTGGGAGCTGAACTATGATTTTCTTCCAAATTATTGCTACAATGGGTCCACTAACAGGTCAGCATGAGAACGTCCACTATGTTTTTATACATTATATTTCATTTCACTGACTTTAATATAAACAGAGAGACATCCATGCTGGTTTTCAAATGCCAGTGTTTAGTAGCTTTTCTGAAAGCTTTGCATTGTTGTTAAAAGTGATAGTCAGTTTAACTCTGGGTAAGATAGTTCCCCCCCCCTTTAATACATAATGAATAATGAACATAGCTAATAGGGTCCAAATTGTGAACCTGCCACTGTGACATTGTGTTTGATCCTGGTATGAGGCTAATATGATGGAACATGACCATAGTTTTAAGCCTGCAAAATTATCTGTCAGACATATAGCAACAATTTAGTTATTTATGGGATGTCCAGTCAGAAATGACTTACAGTAATCCTAAGGGAGCTTTCAAGGTAAGTGAGATATTTAAGAAGTGGCTTTATCAGTTCTACACCCCCAGTGAGTTTCCATGGCAGAAAGTGGATTCGAATCCTGGTCTCCAGAGTCCTAGTCTGTTATTCTGTCCACCACAACAATCGCTATAGTTTTTGCCCCTCTCTTGCAACTTCAGAGCGCACAGGATTTTGTTACAGCAAGCATCTTTTACTGGCACATGTGGTGCTATCGTATGACCCCTGCTCATTTTATTTGCCAGTAATTTAAAATAGTTAATAGAGTTTTTAGCATTTGTGAAAAGCTTTCAGTCTTTGGGTCAAAAATTGAGGTCATTCTTGAAAAAACATTACTGTTAATTGCACATTAATCTGCCTGAATGTTTGTGATGGTTTACTTTTGATAATGGTGTGAGAATAAGCAGTGGGATGGGGAGCTCTTAAAACAACATTATTAATTGCATCTCTCTTTCTGTGCACCCAGTACCAGATTTTACTAAAGCTTATTGCCTCAGGAGTTTCTGAATTGAAGTGTTATATAAACACTACGAAGATAGGCAAACTGCATTTTCTGCTTCAGCTTAGACTTTTAAAATCATACGATTGTGTTTCCTTCAGCTTTATTGTATTTAAGTAACTACATTAAACACTTTGGTAGTGCTTCCAATGGTTCAGAGCCTTTCACTTCTATTACATGGATTAAACCACACAATAACTCTATGCTGGCATAGGTGTTCCATTGGCAGTCATCCTCCTTGCAGTAAGGGCATAAAACTGGGTGTTTGAGGGCAGAACAAGAGTAGAATTGGATTCAAGGCCTCTGCATCTGGATCAGGGCCCTTAATTAGCTGCTGCACCATCATAAACCCTCTTGTCTTTTTCCCCACACTGTCTTCCTAATGTAGAGTAAAAACCTTTATGTTAGAGCTTCCCATTATCCTGTGTAACACGTCCAGTGCTTGGAAGTCAGCAGTTACAAACAGAATGAGTTATGTGTTATTTATTCATCTGATATATTTTTATCCCACCTTTCTCCTGGTTCCAGTATTTAAGGAATTAGCTATGTTACATTACAGTTGTAACATAACAAGAGGCAACTTAACTTGTTTTAGTTGTTCTCTCACTTAGAATATTTAGCCTGTAAAACAGGCATATTTTGTACTACAGAGCAGTAGCTTTTGCCTTGTGATGTATATTTAAATTAAACTAAAAGAAACTATTTTGTTTATTTCCCATAAATGAAAAAATAGTTGCTTTTGCAAGCTAACTATAGCTTTAACTATTTTTGTGAGGCCTTGGATTTATAACTAGTTTTAAAAAATAGCTTTGTGAACATTGCCTGTCACTAACATTCATCAAAGAAGTATTATTTAAGTGTTTCATGTTAACCAACTTCTCATCTCAAACACATGGTCAGGACTGAACTGCTTGATAGTGAATTGAGTACTTGAAAATCAGTGTGGTGTGTTTCTAAATTACTCCATCTCAACTCCAAAACAGGGTTTTGATTTGTGTAATCTGCTTTGTTTTAACTGCTTAGTGCTGCTCTGATGAAAATGGATAAATTGCTAGGAAAGTCATCATCTAGAGATTAAGAAGTAACACAACCTGATTATTTTGAAGCATGCCAAAACCTACAATTTGGCAGCACATTATACCAGAGGAGATTTATCCAAATGATTTTATCACCAGGGAGTAGGGGAAGGGAATAGATTCCATTTAAGATGAATCTGCATAATTAATTCATGTATTTAATTGTGTACTTTTTCTCTTGACTGACTGACTGACTGAATTAAAGAGATTATTGAAATGAACTAAAATTACTGTGCAGGGCCGGACGTTTTAAAAGGACTTTTTAAAAGCATCAGTAATTATGAAACCTGTGACAGGCATATTACTTATTGTACAATCATGTAACATGGTAGGATGTTAAGCACTCTTTTTCCACTTGCTACTTCTCTACTCTAAACCAGATTTTCTTTGTTTCTCACATTTTTTTTCTTCCATTTAGTTTTTCAGAGCCTCCTGATTCAAAACTTTAATTAGAGGTTTCTGGGCTTGTATGTTTGCCAGAGGACTATGTGCACAGGAACATTATTACTAAACTGAAGTGTTGCCCACACTGCCTGTTTGTAGCCACTGTGTGCGTGCAGATACTTTTGAGGGAAACCTGGCAGTATATTCTGACATACATTGAGGTCACAAGAATGCCTTGGTGTGCACATACAAACTGTTTGAGCACTAAGTTAGCTTAATAATGGACAAATATGTGAATATGGCTTTTTCCTATGTATGCAGTCCCTGTCAAATAGAAGCATACAAATCCAGAAACCTCTCATTAAGGTTTTGAATCAGGAAGCTCTGATTACCTGCTTTAGAGCAAGGTGAGATACTAAACCCAGGTTTGATAACGAAGATGATGCCCATGGTTTCCCAGTACAGATAGAGAACTTGTGTTTATTAGAGGCTTCCTAGTTTAACTGTGGCTCATGCAAGGGAAGGTGTGAAGGGACAACAGGAAAAGGAAAAGGTGTGCATGTATATTTCAATGTAATAGTATATTAATTTCATGCACCAAAAAAAATTCATGTACTGGTGGTTGCATCTCAGTAAAGATGTTTGTAAAAATTAGTGTGCAAAAGGAATGTGGAATCTAATACCACCTTGCATTTATTTTGAGCTAGTTTGCCATCGTGTAATATTGGTCAATAAATTTTTTTTTGGTAAAATATTTCAAATTTTATATCTGTTACACAAGGAACAACAGCAGAAGAGCTTATTAGGAGGTGTTAAAGATACTTTGGAGGGTCATGGCAAAGCATCACATCATCATCAAGAATCCATGCTTCTTGGCTTTTGTAATACTGTAGGCAAATAACATTTGTAGTTAGTGTGGTGATTATATTTTCCCCCTATATCCTAAAGTTTAACTTAATTCAGCTTGGAATTTTTATATTACCCTACAATATATTAACCTGGTGGTGAATGATCAAAATATGTAAATGATAACCTGATCATATTTCTCAAAATTTCAGCTATATATTATGGAATAATCTGGCAGATATGTTTCTTACAATATGATTTACAATCACTGGAAAATAAATGATACAGTATTTGTAGAAATACAAATTGTTGTGTTGTCTTGTTTCATTCCATTTGTTTCACTCATTGTTTCATTTGTGAAGGTTTGTTCGAACTGTACTCCCCTTTTCCCAAGAATTCCAGAGAGATAAGCAGCCGAATGCACAGCCCCAATATCTGCATGGATCAAAGGTTAGTGTTTTCACAAAATATTTTTTTCCTTATGATGGAGAGACATTCAAAAAATTAAACTCCATAGGTATGATTTACTAAGCTCTGAGTGGTAGGTGTGATTAACTGTGTTGTATAAATGTTGCTATTCAGTTGTGTTTTTCTTTCTGAAAGACACACATTGAAACTTATCAGATAAAACCACCGAACTATAGTTGAACCATGAGATATGGGTTTGTGTTTCTCTCCTATGGCAAATCAGTGCATTTTTATCTTCTTCTCATCTTTTATATTGTTTTACATTGTTGGGTCAATCAATTTTGGTTCCAATTTTATATACAGCATTTTTCATTGTTCATCTATGAACAATGTAAATGTGCTCATTCACTTTTAGTTTGGACAGACTATAGTTACCTGTTTCATTAGCCCTATTTGGACATCCTGATCACTCAGCTAGAACTTTGGAAAGTTAATTTTTGGGGGCTGTAGTTTCCAGTCCATGGCAACTGGCCACGCTGGCTGAGGGATGAAATGAACCTGGAAGCAGATTGCAAGCCAATGCATGTGATTCTGGATAGTTGAAACATGATGGTAAATGCTGCGTCCAAGAGTTCCCCCAGTCTGCAAACCGAGTCCTTCAGTGGAAATCCAGCCCCATCCAGAACAGGTTACAGTCCAAATCTCAGGATGGCTTTTCTGCTGACCAGCAGGACCTCTGTCTTACTTGGATTAACCCTCAGTTTGCTCATCCACATCCATGCCCTCACAATGCTTCAGGACTTTGATAGCTTCCTTGGCATCAGTTGAAAAAGGAAAATAATTTTGGGTATAGTGAGACCTGATCTCAGTTATTTGGATGGGTTCTCCAAGTTCAGATACACATTCATGTACATATTGAAAAGTAGAGGTACACACAAATCTTCATACTCTTGAAAAGTATAGGGGACAACCCTGAGCCTTGAGTAGCCTCATGACTATGAGGTTGAAGAGTATTCTCCCAGCACCATGTTCTGAGAGCATTCAATTAGATATGAGCAAAACCAGCACAAAATGGTCCCAAATAGGTTAGAATGTAGACTGATAGTACAGTGGACCCACGATTTATAGACGGCTTGACTTACAGACTTTTCGAGTTATAGACTTCTCTGGCTGCAAAATTTAGGTTTGACTTGCAGCCGGAGAATCGATCTACAGACCAGAAAAAAAAACACACAACCCCCCCCCCCAAAATGGAACAAAAAAGGAACAAAAACGGCCGGTTATGGATTAATCGGTTTTCAATGCCTTGTAGGTCAATGGAGACTCGACCTACAGACTTTTCGATCTGCAGCCACCATTCCAATACGGATTAATTCCATAAGTAGAGGGTCCACTGTATCAAAAACTGCTGAGAGGTCCAGCAGAAGCAACAGAGGTATGGGGGCCAGTCTGGTTCCCCAGGATGACTTCCTTTTTCTTCTCAGATAATGTCTACATCTGAATGTCCACATCACTAGCTTGAGTACACTGAAACTGATCAATCAAAACATGACAAATGTTTGCCTCAGTTACTTCCCTACAATCAAAGTTCAGTGTGGGATATTGTATCTGCTTGTTGCCACTCTCCTTTGTATGATTATAATTGTATCGGAGATTACATTTTCTGTATATGACTACTGAAATAGGACAAGCTGGGGTTTGCACTAATTTAAGTTTGCATCCGGACTGGAACTGGAAAGTGGAAACCTTTTTTGGAAGTTCGAAAGCAAGGAATACGTCTTGGAATGTCAGAAATAGGCATTAAGTTTGAGCAGCAATAGAATTCAACATTCTGTCTTGGCTAACGGAGCATCATGTACTCATATTTTTCCCTGAAGTGTACGTGAATCCCTGTCTCTGTGAAATTATTGTCACACTGCAGTCATAGAAACTGAATCTATTTTCAGGGTTTAATAAATGAATGGTCCCTTAAGGAAGATTAGCTTAGCATTTATTTGGCACAGACATATCTTGTGTGACACCTGAGTTCATTTTTATTTATGTATTTCACTTGTATGCACAGCCTGTGATAATCCACATGTAATCCTTGTTGATGGTAATAAAAACTGGAATATGTCACAGATTGCGTGCTCAATATTGCATAAACTAAGAATAATGCATTGACTTGGTCTAAAACTCAGGTAGTGTATTATCACAGCAGTCTAGAAGACAGCTAGATAATTGAATTTCAACAGAAATGGCTAGAAATTATAACAGTGATTAGTTAAGCAGCTGTATGTTTTTCTTTATACCTTATGAAAGTACATCATCTTAAACTATACAGTACATACTATTCCATAGTCATGTCACAGAAGACATATATAACATCAAAAACATCACTGGCAGATATAATCGTAAGACTATACAGTGGTGCCCCGCATTACGACAACCCCGCATGATGATGAAATTGCTTGACGATGACTTTTGCGATCACTATAGTGATCGCAAAACGATGGTTCCTATGGGGTTTTTTCACTTTACGTCAATTAGGTCCCTGCTTCGTGAACTGTTTGTTGGCAAAACAATGATTTTTTCGGCTCCGCAAAATGGCTTCCCTTTGCAAAATGGCTTCCCTCCCTTCGCAAAAATGGCTGTTTTCCGGACAGAAGCTTCGCAAAACAGCGGTTCTAAACAGCTGATCGGCGGTTCTCTATGGGCGATCTTCGCCCAACGATGAGGTATTTCCCCATTGGAACACATTAACCAGTTTTCAATGCATTCCAATAGCGTTTTTTTCCGCATGACAGCAATTTCGCTGTACAGCGATTTTGACAGAATGGATTGTCGTCGTCATGCGGGACACAACTGTACTAGAACAGTCCCTTCTTTGCATGCAAGTGTACCTGAACATATATGATGCCTGAACAGAGCTGGTGGCTTTGTATATGACAAACCATGTTTCTATGATGAACCACCACCTTTGGGGGAATGTCAGAAGCAGTTTTTGTTGTGGTGTTCTGCGGCGGAAATACTTTAATTCCAAGTGCCTACACCTAAATGATCTCCCTGAAACTCAGTTGTTGATTTGCCTCCTGCCCCTTTTAAAGCTGCCTTTGAAAAAGAAGGATCTTCCTTAGTTCAGCACTGTGTGCTGAGGAAGTTGTGATTTAAGAATGGTACAGTAGTACTCTCTTGAATAAGTTTAAATATATACTGTGTACATAGCAAATTATCAGTGGTGGCACATTCCAGTTGAAGACCCTATGTCAGATTGACATAGCGACATAGGCACAAAATCCTGACTTTTGGAACTCAGCATTATGGGTTTCTTTGATGTTAAAGGATTAGCAATAACGGTGGCCAATTGGATGCCATCTGTGCTTTGAATCTCAATTCCTTGAGCAGGCTGGGCTTGCTTGTTCAGCTCTTCTAAAGCACATGGTTCATTTTTTGCCCACACTTCCCCCTTATCTTCAGATGTAATGCTTTGCCTCTCTGAACTCTCTCTTCTCTTGCGCCACCATATATGCAAGCAACTGTAGATCAGAATACCAAAGATGATGAGAAGCAAAACAGTGCTGGTTAGCCATATGCCCACTGCCAGGTCTTTCTTCTTATTGCTTGTGGTTGCTGGGTCTTGTTCTGGTGTATTAAAAATCCTGCATTGATCACTTGATGGGTTTGCTGACTGGCATGTTACACAGAGAATGTAGGTTGTTAATGGAATCAAGTTCTCAATGACAAATGATGATCGACTGGCTGGCACTCTCTCTTCTTTTTGAAAATGTTTTCTGGTATACCCTGATAGCATTTTGTCCCAGTTTGGATTGTACATGATGCTGTAAAAGCTATCTACACAGCTCTCCATTTTGGGCCAGATCACGAGGGCTGTGCTTCCGGTTACATTTTGTACAGTTATTCCCATTATGCTGCCGTCTTTCTTCTTAATACTTCACTTCAATAAATCGCAATGGCTGGATGGCTCTTAAGATTCAGGAGACCAAAATATTCCAGCAGGCAGATCTGAAAGGACCATAAGCATTGGTACTCTGGAATTTAAAGATAACAAGAAGAAATTGTTTGAACGTAGTATTTGCATTCCTTGAGCACTTAAAACCAGTAGAATTGCTTTAATTTATAGTACAGTAGTGTCCAGTGACATCAGTATTCATTGATGAGGCATTTATTCCTTAATTTAACATTCCATTTTTCCTTTTTTTAAACAAAAGACAGACTTAGCAGTGCCAGCATATTTGAAGCTACAGAGTGGATGGTCCTTGCCTGTTTCTCTTGCTTCAAATCATTTTGTACTGTAAAAACTTGAAGAATGTGTAACTGATTTGTCAATAGAATTGCTTTTTTTTCTTTCATGTCTAAACACGTTCTTTTAAAGTGATGTTCCTTCAAGGAGAATTTAAATGCATATATATTGTTGATATTCTTTTCTGGATATCCAATCTGTTTCTTTTCCCCTTCCAAGAATAGAACAACCTAAAAATTACTGTGTCGTCCATACTCTTTTAACTTTACATTTTAAATTTAAACCTAAGGAGGTAAGAGGGACGGCTTGTAGACAAAGGGCCTTTTCGGCAGCTGCCCCCAGACTATGGAATGCCCTCCTGACTGAGATTCGTCTGGTGCCGACACTGATGACATTTCGGCGCCAGGTCAAAACCTTCCTGTTTCAGAAGGCTTTTAATTGAAATAATATTAGCTGTGGGTCCGATGGCAATTTTTATGTATATTTTAATTGTATTTTAATTGTTTTGATTTTTTATTGTATTTTAAATGTTGTAAGCCGCCCAGAGACCTTTGGGTAGTGTGGGCGGCATATAAATTAAATAAATAAATAAAAGTTAGTGGGGCTTGCCCGATTGCTGAATTTCAGGGACTCATTTAGATATGAGTAAGTCTTGATCAAGCCCACTAACTGTCCCTTTTGATTTTAAGGACAATGGGCTGCATGTGAAATACAGAATTTAGCTGTCCTTTAGTTAGTTTTCAAATGTTTTTATTGTGGCAGCGAACAGAAACATCCTGGTGCCAATTCATACACCATGTTTCTGGCTTCTTTTGCACCTGAATTTGTCCATGTGTGGGTGAGAAGGAATTGTGCTATTTCATTTGTGTTACAGAATGTATCATCTAACGCGTTCATGTTCACTGACAGCTCCCTACTTGCAAGTAAATGTGCCCAGAGTTGTGTGTGTCTAATAATATGCTGGTAAACATACAACACATCTTCAGAGGACAGCACTTTGTGCTCTGGTGTAGTTGGCTTGGCACTCCCAAGCCAATTACACCAGAGCACAGAGTGCTGTCCTCTGAAGAAGCCAGCCACAGAGACTGGCAAAACGTTAGGAAGAACAACCCTCAGAACACAACCGAAGAGCCCGAAAAACCCACAACAACCATTAAATCCCGGCTGTGAAAGCCTTCGCAAATACATACAACCCTTTCATGCAACATAATTCATATTCATTGGAAAGTAGTTGCTTGTCTATTTTCATTATAAAATGTTATTGATCTTCTCTTTTAATACAACAAAAATATTGTTTATAGATCATTTTCAGTATCTTCCTTGGAGACCTATTTTGCAATAAAACACGTATAAAAGTGTCACATAAATTGTCACATGAATGAGTTGTCACAAATATATACATTGCCTTATACATGCAGAAGTAATACATTTGTTGTGTAGGGTTGTGCAGGCAGATGGTGAACTTCTTTCTTGGCTCCAGTAGTAGAACATGGTATAATCAAGGTTCAGCGGAATATTAAAATATCCCAATAAGTGAAAATGGTAGCCCCCTAGGGATTAATTTACATAGTTTGAGGATTGCAGATCTTCCCAAAATTACATCTTTTCCATAAGGTTAAAAGCAGAGTATTTTACAAAATTGAAAGTGCTCCTTTCAGTTGGGTATTAAAACTGTAGAGCCAACCCCCAAGAATCTGAGGCAGTTTTTTCTCCTATTTTACAAACCAGTAGTAATGGCAAACATGCTAAGATTAGATATTTGGTTAAATACACCAGATGAACAGACATCTATACTGGAGAGGTGTACCATACTCATGGAGGGCTTTGTATGATATGTCTGTTTTCATGCTTTGAAGGTGCATTAGTCATTCAATTGTTCTGCTATTTCAGAGCACCTAGTTCCACATGTCCCTTTGTAAAGCAAGCTCAAAGATCTTTGCTGGGTTTATCTGAGATTTCAAGATGAGCTTCTTTTACCTGCCCTTCTTGCCGCACTTTGGCATTTACATTACCTTTAAACAAAAAACTCTTTTACTCTCCTCCTTACATCCTCACTTATATACACATTGTGTATCATACTAAAAAGCTGAGGGGGAAAAGCCATAGATTTTGAAATCAGATTTCAAAGATCCGTACTCACCATCGGCTTAGTGTGAAAATCCTGAGGTTTTCGTCAAATGTTTGGGTAGAAATGGAGCAATAGCTGTGTCCTCTTTCAAAGAAGTAGGTCTTTTCATGATCTGTGGTTGCTAGTTTTCCCCAGCAGGTTGTTTGGACCAAGTACTTGAGGTTCTTTTCAAATACAGAGGCTGGTGATCAGACCTCTTCTGTAAACCTTCGGTCTAAATCCATGCACAAGAGCATGCTGCCTTGGGTATTCGGTTGCCTAGGTTTTCTGGGGATGGGGAACAGCCAGCCTTCACTTTCTGTTGCTTGCTTTGTGCTATGAAATGCACTGCTGGAGCACTCTAGTTAGATTCTGCTCTTGTGTATCTGGGTTTGCTTTTCCTCTGATGCAAGTGAGTAATGCTCTTTTATTCAGTGACATCATTACTGAACTCCTAGGGTTAGGGAGGGGGGAAGCATAGCTTTAGAAAGAGCATTTGGGTTTGAAGTAGCTCTGCCAGAGTGCAAGCATTGATTCTGTTCTTCTCTATTAAGGATTTACATTTTTTGCTGCAAACCTCTGTCTCTATGATACTTAGCTTATGTCCACAGTTCAGTAGTTTCACAGTACCGTATGTTATGTACTGGATTTGTCGAGTGTGTGAAGCATCTTATGTAGCTGCATATGTTCTTATTGTTTAGTACTGTTTATAAACTCTTTCAGTGATCTCTGCTGGATATCCTACCTTTACTACTTCCTTCCATGGTTTTGGTCCTCAAAGAAGAGGTTTTTCCATATGTACCTGGGAAATTTTTTAAAAATTATTATTTTATTTATTTTTGCCAGCACAATGTGGTGACTGTGAAGATCTAGACACAAATGACCATCTGGTCATGAACTTCGTCAGGTCATTTTGAGAAACTATGGTATCTCAGTCCAGTCTGCCTTAGGGTTAGGTTAGAGAGTGTTTCAGGATACACAGTTATATGGGGAGTGTCTATCACGATTGAGGTCCTGAGATGAAAAGCAGGACACAAATGTAATAAATAATAAATTATATAATGCAAAGAGTTGGGAAAATCTCACTTTAGTCAATATCTTTTTAGTTTTGTATTCATTTGTTTTAGAATCTTTTCTTTCAGCTGTTTGAAAAGTATGGAAATCATACACAATACAGTAGTAGGAACATTCCAGAAAAAAAGTTACTTTGTATAGTCCCAGAGACTGATACAAGCATGGAAGGAAAGAGAAACGATGTTTAGGTGCATATTCAAATACTGTACTGCTGAACCTTGTTTTGTATATTAAATACAATCTTACAGTCTCTCTCTCTCTCTCTCTCTCTCTCTCTCTCTGTGTGTGTGTGTGTGTGTGTGTGTGTGTGTGTAGAACTATCTACCAGAACTTGATAAGTGACAAGATTTATTAATTTTATTCAAATTGCTTTTGGATGTGGAGTCTGATAATCCACCAGGCATCAGTTGTTGTGGTTACTAAGAGGAAAAAGGAGCAGTTTGAATTGCTTCTTTAAAAGAGTCTTGTACTGTGTGGCACAATGGCTTAGGCTTGCAGGGGCAAATTCAAGAAAGGAAGTTATCCCATTTCCTTTCATAATCTGTCTCACAGCAATCTAGGGGTGGTGATATCCAGTTTGGGTACCCCCCCCCCTTTATTAATAATTGGATTCTGGCTACTTTCCTGTTCTGAATTTCATTAATATCTTCCTTTAAAGACAAATGAAGTTACTTGTTTTAGATGAATAGCATCTGTAAGGAAGTAATATTTATCTAATGGTGGTGTTAGATACTATTATTAGGCAGAAATTAGGAGTTTAAAAAAATGAAACTGCCGTTAAGATGTTCAGTTCAGTAACAGTAATTAAAGAATGTCATGTTATCTTTTATTTAGTAAAAAGTAAGACAGTTTTTGGGAGGAGCATTAGGTCAAGGTCTTCATTGCCTCAGATGAAACCATTGAGGGTCCTCCTCGTGGCAGAGTGGGTGATTGGAGATTTATAGATGTGCTTCTCATTTTGGTCAGTTCACAAAGTCAGTTCTTGGGGGGGGGGAGACATTTGTATCCGAGAATTCTCCCTTTGTTTGTGCAAGTTTATTTAGCTTTGTAGCTGGGGAACAGAGCAGGAAAAATCAGGTAAATAGGTAGGTAGATTTGTGGAGAGAGTCCAGGGAGATTTGGGGAGCCATAATCAGACTGAGAGGAATGTGTTCTACTCCCCTGCCATGGGAGGTATAATGCACAGATAGGAAGTCTCTCCTTTTGTAGTGGTCATAGTAAGGATTCCTTCCTCCAAGTCAAATATATGAAAGAGTTCTTGTGCCAAAGATTTGTGAATTACTTAAAATAACACAATTCCATTCTTACAATATATAGTGAGAGAAGAAAATCTGGGCTTAGAATATTCTTTTAGTGGTGTGTGTCTTTTCCTGTTCAGGTGAAATCAGATATTTATCTCACTTCCATTAGTTTCTAGATAAAAATATTCATAAATAAAAGATGAAAGAAAGTTAAGTGTCCTTAAACTTTGCAGCAAAATGAAAAATGTCTGTTAATTCCATTTGTCTGGTTTTTGCCATTATTGTTCTTTAGGCTTTGAATCTGGCATACTCCAGTATCTACAGCAATTACAGGAATTTTGTTGGACCCCCTCACTTCAAAGTCATCTGCAGGCTCCTGGGATACCAAGGCATTGCAGTAGTTATGGAAGAGTTATTGAAGGTTGTCAAGAGTCTGGTACGTTGGTCCTCACACTTCCTTTCAATATTGATTTCCATACAAGGAAAATAGTCCCCTGTTGTTTAGTTCAGTCAACCTATAAGCAGTTTTTGTTTGTAAATTGGCTTGATTCTGACGGCAAGAGGTGTCTGGTTTTTGAGCCCTGTTCAGGTGAAAAGCGAGAGACCTGCCCCAGTGTAGCTGAGGGAGCCAAACTCTGTGTGTAATTGGAAACTCTGATTCCTGTTTGTGTGGAGGTTTCTTATTCACATTCAAGCCTGACGTAATAGGGAAGGTAAAAATACCTCAGTCTGCAAGCCCCACATTGCACACATTCTTCACTTATTAGAACAACAGCTAGGAGTCCCTGCTTCCTTCCTCCTACATCTGTGTCATTTGAAATGCCTTTTCTAAAGAATTATATAATGGATGAAAGAGGAGGTTGAATCTGTGCAGTGCTATGAATCAGACTGACAGGAGATGATCCATAGATTTAAAAGGAAAGCAAATAGCTGGAGTGCCCTGATGGCCTTTGCTGTATCAGATTGGTGAGCTGCAGAATTATGCTTAAGTTGTACAGTGTCCATTTGGTTCAAACTGTAGGGATGGTCTGCACCGCCTTTTCTAGCTGCAGTTCCACTCTCTCTAAAAGAGCAAGTGCATAGTCTGGCTATATTCCTTGATTTATCTTTGTCAGTGGAGGTCCAGGGGACCTCAACAGCTTTGTCTAGTTTTATCTGGTGTACCACCTATGGCCTTTTCTAGTGACTGTCGCCCTGGTAGCTTTAAGTATTTTAAAATACTTTAAATGGGGCAATCCTTTAAAATAATCCCAAAGTTGTCAGAAATCACATAACATGATTGTTGTTTGTTTCACTCAAAACCCAGTGTGTTGGTGCTGACATACATAAACCTTATTCAGCTGAACATGCTTAGCAGCTGAAGTAAAAACAGGGACACATGCTCATATGTAAGCCACACCATGCCCTGCAATGTCAGAGACCTTCCTGTGTAAAACACAAAGGTCTGCAAACAAAGGTCTGCCAACAAAACTGGCTAAATGTGCTTATAAAGCTTCTGTAACTGGAAACCCTGAAAAGGCTAATTTTCTAGTCTCTGAAAGCATATTAAGCTGAATTTACTTACAGAGACCTTGGTAGATGTTTCCACTGAAAGTGTGAAAGTCTTTGGTTCTGGAGGGAGTTACGGTGTTATTCATGTGTGCACACATACTCCGTCCCTATTCTAAGCCATAAACATATTTGGGCAAATGCCTGAATATGGCTTTAGGTCTTGATGGGGGGCTGCTGCTGTCTCAAAGCATGCCTCTGCTTTCACCATCCTGCCCATGCACACACTTCTGAAAAGGAGGCCCATCTTGTTTTCCTACCTAAGGAATAGTTTTGAAAACTATTTTTGACTGTTCTCATTAAAAAATGTAGACTTACTTGATCTACATTTCAATTGGCTATCTCAAGAGATGGTTGGCGGGGTAGCTCACTGAGTTAAATTTCTGACTTAACTCAGTTCCTATCAAGAGATGGTTGGCGGGGTAGCTCACTGTGTTAAATTTCTGACTTAACTCAGTTCATACACTGTGCATCCCAGAAGAACTAGCCTGTGCACTCACATACTCAAATGTTACATGTGAAGCAGCCCTAGAATATAAAGGAATACAACCATACACCTGCTTGTGTATCTTGTGAATAAAAGCCTAATTTTTTGTCTTCAGCAATGCTGATCATTTGTATTATTGTAGTTACAAGGCACGATTCTGCAGTATGTGAAGACCTTGATGGAAGTGATGCCTAAAATCTGTAGGTTACCCAGACATGAATATGGCTCCCCAGGTAAGTTCTTTATAGTTCATGTTCTTCCAATTCCAGGACACAATTTTGCTTCCTGCATATAGCATGCAACTTAATGAACAGTTCAGGCAGATGAAGATTGCTGTGTCAGTCCACCTTGTCATACATTGGGACAAAGTATTTTCAGATTTCCTCCAAATATGTATATTCTGAAGGTATGATATGTCCCATAAATTAACATTTTGATACTGCTCTCTTTGCTAATCCCAGCTGAAATAGACCCAATGAATTAGTTAATGAGTGGCTAATCAACACTTGTATAGATCTACAGTGGTGCCTCGCTTTACGATTGCCCCGCATTACGACGGAACCGCATTTCAACGATCTTTTTGTGATTGCAATCGAAAAACGATGGTCTAAATGGGATTTTTTTCGCTTTGCAATGATCGGTTCCCTGCTTCGGGAACTGATTCTTCGCAAAACAACGATTTTAAAACAGCTGATCGGCTGTTTCAAAATGGCCGCCGGGTAAACAAAATGGCTCCCCGCTGTTTTCTGGGACGGATTCCTTGCAAGACAGGCAGCGAAAATGGCTGCCCTATGGAGGATCTTCGCTGGATGGTGAGTTTTGACCCCATTGGAACACATTGAAGGGGTTTCAATGTGTGTGGTTTTTTTGGGTTTTTTTGTTTGTTTGCTTTACGATGTTTTCGCTTAATGGCGACTTTCCTGAAACAGTTTATCGCCGTTAGGCGAGGCACCACTGTAAATGATTCAGTGGCTTTACACTAGTTAGGATTAGGAGCTCAATTTAAGATTTAGGAAAAAGGACTGAGTCAAAACCTTCCTACATTCACCAAAAGTCAGTCTTTAGTGGACTTCCTCTATCTCTACTTTCTACCTTGTGTTCCCCAGCTATTTTTCTCTCAGTTCTTTCCTTTCCAGCTCAATATCTATATGGACTGATCTCACTGAAGGCTCCCAAGTGTGGAGAGAAACGATGGGGATTTGTGGCACCTTAAAGATAGCCAGGTTGTATTTGTCATTCACTTTTGTGGCCTGTTGCTCCCTTCTGTCAAATGGATGCATCTATTGAAATGGACTAGCGTCCTCCCAAAGTGCACAATAAATAAAACTGGTTAGTCTCTAAGGAGCCACAAGACCTTTGTTGTTATAACTGCAACAGACTAATGTGTTAGTCTACCCCTTTGGAAATTTTTGCAAGTGTGAAGAACATCTGTAAACATTTGTTTGTACTTCTCAACATAGAACTGTCCATGTTGTTCTGGGTTAAAAGTGGTTATCTTGGAATCCAAGATAATGATACATTTTGAAGCTTATTTCATTCTGCAGATACTGTAGGCACATTGTGCTCTTGTGGCCTTCAAGTACAATTCATGCTGGTAGAGGAGCTGCAGTGGAATATCACTTTGGAAGAATAGTCTCTGATGAGCCATGGCTTTATTCTCTACTCTGAGCATAACCTTCAATTTTTTGTTAACATGGATGAATCATAGCACTTGATCCTGCTTTTGAGTATCTTCTGTTCTGTCTTTCAACACTCCTTATTATTATTCAGCTTTAAGAGAGCTCATTTTAACTTAAATTATGCTCCTATTTGCATCCTGTAAGGTGATTGGCACTCATTACCAAGGCAGAATGTGCGCCAAGTACATGCTGAGTATTAAGCTCATTGGGTCTCTTGTTGAGCTGACTAATTGCTTTATGAGCCATTGTTAAAAATATGAATAGTCAGATGTTAGCCACTCTATAATCAAGCAATGGCATATTTAGAAAAAAGCCACCTTTTGTTAATATAATTGGAAGTAAATTAAATTGAAAGAAAATTCTGCACCCTTCTCTTGATAGAGTTTTATTTGTAAGGAATAGTGTGACAGTCTTCAACAGGTACTCAATAACTCTGTTGCTGTTCTAGATAAGCAACCCAAATCTGATGCTGTTGTACCCCTGGTAGGCTTCCTTATATGTCTGTCTGTCCGGCTTGGAATAAAGGACCATCCATATCTAGTTAGAGGTTTCATCTCATCAATGGGGAAGGAGGTTCTTCAGCCTAATTCAAGTGTGAGCAACTTTGATGGGTCTGATGGTGGGGAGTCCTCTCCCAGAATTGGCAACTTTCCTGCTGTTTCTGCCATACACATCAGTAGAAGTTTTAAAAAGCTTACTTCTGGTGTGCAAAATCCTCCAACATTTTTGCTTTAACACAGGGAGATAATTTTTTTTACTAATTTTCTTTGAACTGTTGCTTTGTTTCCTAACACAAGGCTCAGTGTTAATTTGTTCTATTTTCTGCTGTCTATCATTGCCTACCCACTGGTAACTCAGGTATTCTAGAATTCTTCCATCATCAGCTGAAGGATATTGTGGAGTACGCAGAACTGAAAACTGTGTGTTTCCAGAATCTTCGAGAAGTAGGAAACGCAGTTCTCTTCTGCCTTCTGATTGAACAGAGCTTGGTAGGTAATAATTTGTATTTCTCTGCATTTTGAAGCATGTTTAAAATCAGACTTTGAAGGTAAAATCTCTGTCTTTTTAGTAACCTCTTTGGAAATAATTTTTTGAGGGAGAAGGTGGGGGGAGTACCAAAATCTGTTATAACTTCAGATTTGAAGTGCCAGATGTGTAGGCTTCTCCCCTTTACCTTTGAAAAGAAACAGTTCTGTTCTTTTTATGCCACCTTGTGTCCAGTTTAGGAATGAAAGATGAAGCGTGGGGGGAAAGGGGACAGGAAGCAAGATTCTATCTTTGCAGAAGCATCTGTGAAATGTTGCCAAAAAGGTGAAAACAAGACAGACCATTTGAAATTGAGATGATTCTTTTCTGATCGCCACATTCTTTCACTTTAAAAGCAATGAGGAGTTTCTAGAGCAGAGATGGAGGGCATGTTGCTGGTGGACCATATGTGACCTGAGGAGTCCACAAGCAGCCTTCCAGTAGTTCTGCATACATCCAGATTTTTATATATAGTCTTCTTGTGCTCTCTAGGGGCACAGGGGACAATTTATCCATGGGCTCTTGGCACCCACAAGTTACTCCAAACCCTCCCATAATAAAAAATAAAAAATTCCCACTAGAACGCGTAAGAGGGAAATTTTCAGTTCCGGAAAAAACCTCCATTTCTGTAGGGGAAAAAAATCTTGCGGGGGGGGGATCACTCTCTGGTTTCTGTGTGCTGCCCCCAGACTTTTGGAGATTGTCTACATATTCTAGAGAATAGCCATACTTTGCATTTGTGCAATTTTTGTTCTTTTATTTCTGGTCTGATACATATAGTATATCACAGAAGTGAGTACACCCCCTCATGTTTCATAAATATTTTAGTATATCTTCTCATGTGACAACACTAAAGAAATGACACTTGGCTACAATGTAGAGCACTGAGTATACAACTGGTATAACAGTGTAAATGTGCTGTCCCCACAAAATAACACAACACACAGCTGGCAACAAAAGTGAGTATACCCCTAAGTGACAATGTCCAAATTGGGCCCAAGTAGCTGTTTTCCCTCCCTGGTGTCATGAGACCCATTAGTGTCACAAGTCTCAGGTGTGAAGGGGGAGCAGGTGTTATCACTGTCACTCTCTCAGACTGGTCACTGCAAGTTCCACATGGCAGCTCATAGTAATGAACTATCTGAGGATCTGAAAAAATGAATTGTTGCTCTACATAAAGATGGCCTAGGCTATAAGAAGATTGCCAAAACCCTGAAACTGAGCTGCAGCATGGTGGCCAAGACCATACAATGTTTAACAGGACAGGTTCCACTCAGAACAGGCCTTGCCATGGTTGACCAAAGAAATTGAGTGCCCGTGCACAGTGTCATATCCAGAGGTTGGCTTTGGGAAATGGATGTATGAGTGCTAACGATAAAGATGGCCTAGGCTATAAGAAGATTGCCAAAACCCTGAAACTGAGCTGCAGCATGGTGGCCAAGACCATACAATGTTTAACAGGACAGGTTCCACTCAGAACAGGCCTTGCCATGGTTGACCAAAGAAATTGAGTGCCCGTGCACAGTGTCATATCCAGAGGTTGGCTTTGGGAAATGGATGTATGAGTGCTAACGGCATTGCTGCAGAGGTTGAAGGGGTAGGGGGTCAGCCTGTCAGTGCTCAAACCATTCGGCGCACACTGCATCAAATTGGTCTCCACAGCTGTCATCCCAGAAGGAATGCTATTCTAAGGATGATGCACAAGAAAGCTTGCATATGGTTTGCTACAGACAAGCAGACTAAGGACAGGGTTTTCTGGAACCATGTCTTGTGGTCCGGTGAGACCAAGATAAATGTATTTGGTTCAGATGGTGTCAAGGATGTGTGGTGCTCTCTCAAAAGAACGAGGTCAAAGATCCAGGAAACGAATAGCAGGCCCTTGGTCATTTCAAAGCACAGGGGATTCTGTAGGTAATAATTGCAGAATATCCACACACAAGTGAACCAGTCTGTTTCACAAGAAGCCTTTAGAAGACAGCCACGCAAAATGGAAATGAAGAGTCTTCCAACAATAACAGAAGAATATATTTCCAGAACTTCCTTTCAGTCTGGATTCAGGCTAAGATTTTTACACAATTGTTATAAAGACATGCATTCCTATATGCATTAGCAGCAGCAGCAGCAACTTTTTCTGCTCACCGTGTAATTATAGCAAGCCACCCAGAGACCTTTGGGTAGTGTGGGTGGCATATAAGTTAAATAAATAAATAAATAAATAAGTCTCAGTAGGAGCTAACAGGGCTTTCAAATCAAAGAGCATTTATTTGTCTACTACTTGAAGATTTTAAAACTGCATTTCTTTCTTTGGGAGACCAGAGTGCTATCTGTTAAATGTAATTAATTGAAACCATTAAAAATATTCAAATGATATAACTCCAAAGCCCACGATCATAATGAAACAAAGGACTCTCATTGGAAACCATTTTGAGGTTTGGTTGTTTGTTAATCAAGAGGCTACTGGCACTATCCCTTCTTTTAAGAAGTGATTAATAATCTACTGGACCCACATGCCAAGTTAACTATTCACAGACAGACCATTAGACGTACACTTCCAAATGCTTTGTCCATATCCCCAGGCAAAACCAGAACCAAACAGAGCCCTACCTAGTCCCAGCAGAATTGTCTTAATGATGGGGCAAAGGTCTAGAAAGCTCACTGCAATGTGTGCCAAAAAGATCCACCTCCACACGCCCTGTGCTGCCTTCAATGATCATCTGAAAAAGTACTAATCGATGGCTTAATGAGGACACAGTGTTGGCAGAAAAATGCAAATGACTGGGCAAAGTTGCTGATGCGAAGCAAAGATGGTAATGTGCCCTCACTCGTGTTCTGTCATATTTATTGTGAAATTTGCATCAGATGCCTATTGCTCACAGATCCCCAGTAAACCAGGGAACTCAGTCCTAGAACTCAGGAGTTTCAAATGTTCAGCCCTAGCATTTAACTAGAACAGAATGCTGCTCTGATGATGTACACTATATCACTGAAATGAGTACACCCCCTCACATTTCATAAATACAGTGGTGCCTCGCACAGCGAGGTTAATCCGTTCCGGATTAACCCTCGCTGTGTGAAACATCGCACTACGGAAAGTAAAAAGCCATTGGAACGCATTAAACATGGTTTAATGCGTTCCAATTTGGCCGAATACTCACCGTTGTGCGATGTTCCGGTATAGCCGGCAGCCATTTTCGCGCCCTCCCCTCGCTGAACGAGGGCGCGAAAACGCTGCGATTAGCTGTCCGGCGGGTCCAAAATGGCCGCCGGAACAGCCGAAATGGCGGGGCGCAGCATTTTCGCGCCCTTGGTAAGCAAGGGGAACGCGTGAAAACGCTGCGGAAGCCCCGAAATGGCTGCGCGCAACCATTTTGGGGCTTCTGGCAGCGTTTTCGCGTGCTCCCCTTGCTTACCAAGGGCGCGAAAACGCTGCGCCCCGCCATTTCGGCTGTTCCGGCGGCCATTTTGGACCCGCCGGACAGCTAATCGCAGCGTTTTCGCGCCCTCGTTCAGCGAGGGGAGGGCGCGAAAATGGCTGCCGGCTATACCGGAACATCGCACAACGGTGAGTATTCGGCCAAATTGGAACGCATTAAACCATGTTTAATGCGTTCCAATGGCTTTTTACTTTCCGTAGTGCGATGTTTCACACAGCGAGGGTTAATCCGGAACGGATTAACCTCGCTGTGCGAGGCACCACTGTATTTATGAAATGTGAGGGGGTGTACTCATTTCAGTGATATAGTGTACATCATCAGAGCAGCATTCTGTTCTAGTTAAATGCTAGGGCTGAACATTTGAAACTCCTGAGTTCTAGGACTGAGTTCCCTGGTTTACTGGGGATCTGTGAGCAATAGGCATCTGATGCAAATTTCACAATAAATATGACAGAACACGAGTGAGGGCACATTACCATCTTTGCTTCGCATCAGCAACTTTGCCCAATCATTTGCATTTTTCTGCCAACACTGTGTCCTCATTAAGCCATCGATTAGTACTTTTTCAGATGATCATTGAAGGCAGCACAGGGCGTGTGGAGGTGGATCTTTTTGGCACACATTGCAGTGAGCTTTCTAGACCTTTGCCCCATCATTAAGACAATTCTGCTGGGACTAGGTAGGGCTCTGTTTGGTTCTGGTTTTGCCTGGGGATATGGACAAAGCATTTGGAAGTGTACGTCTAATGGTCTGTCTGTGAATAGTTAACTTGGCATGTGGGTCCAGTAGATTATTAATCACTTCTTAAAAGAAGGGATAGTGCCAGTAGCCTCTTGATTAACAAACAACCAAACCTCAAAATGGTTTCCAATGAGAGTCCTTTGTTTCATTATGATCGTGGGCTTTGGAGTTATATCATTTGAATATTTTTAATGGTTTCAATTAATTACATTTAACAGATAGCACTCTGGTCTCCCAAAGAAAGAAATGCAGTTTTAAAATCTTCAAGTAGTAGACAAATAAATGCTCTTTGATTTGAAAGCCCTGTTAGCTCCTACTGAGACTTATTTATTTATTTATTTATTTAACTTATATGCCACCCACACTACCCAAAGGTCTCTGGGTGGCTTGCTATAATTACTTGGTGAGCAGAAAAAGTTGCTGCTGCTGCTGCTAATGCATATAGGAATGCATGTCTTTATAACAATTGTGTAAAAATCTTAGCCTGAATCCAGACTGAAAGGAAGTTCTGGAAATATATTCTTCTGTTATTGTTGGAAGACTCTTCATTTCCATTTTGCCTGGCTGTCTTCTAAAGGCTTCTTGTGAAACAGACTGGTTCACTTGTGTGTGGATATTCTGCAATTATTACCTACAGAATCCCCTGTGCTTTGAAATGACCAAGGGCCTGCTATTCGTTTCCTGGATCTTTGACCTCGTTCTTTTGAGAGAGCTGTCCTGGAGGAGATAATGGATTATAGGAATAAAGTAGATAAAAATAAAAGCATGACTCACTGTTTGATTCACTTTTCTACTTCTGCCTCTTGAACACAGACAATTAGTCACTTCCATTAGGCTTTTGCTAAAGCCTTTTGTGTCTTTTGATTCTTACGCCTATAGAATGGGCAACCTGTTGTGAACCTATAGTTCAAGTTTGTTGTGAACTGAGGACTGAGCTAATGGAGTATAGGGCAGCCATGACTGTATTCCAAAACTTAAAAGAACACTTCTGACTCTGATCGATATGGGGTGAGGGGCTTGCCATTTTCTGCTTTTCGTGATCAGTTGCCTTCATTCTGAAGTTACTGTCCTTCCCATTTTAGGGGGGGAGGAGCGGGAAACCACCTCACGAAGGAAAAGTGCTCCTCCTGCTATAGATCTAATTATCTTCTTACCAGAGGATGGGAGGTGTTAGATCAGAAAAATCACATGAGGCAAAAAGATTCTCCCATCTCAGTGCCACTGTGCAAATCAGTGCTGGAACCTTCCACTAGTAGAATTGGGAGATTCAATCACAGTGACTCCATGTTTCATTTGTTTTGATCTGGAGGGAAACTTATTGTGGCCAGATCGCTATGGGTTTTCTGTGAGCCTTATCCTCTTCATTGCAGTCGCTGGAGGAAGTATGTGATCTTTTGCATGCAGCACCTTTCCAGAACATTTTACCAAGAGTTCACGTCAAAGGTAGGTCTTTCTGCCCCCACCCCCAGATCCTCTTCAGTTCAGCAAACCTCTGAATTGTGCACCCTGCATGGAAATAGGAAAGCAGAGGGTTGCCAGTTGATTAAAGAGGCCAGGGCATGTATTGTATTCCTTCGGTGATGTGCAGGGAGGGCCAGCCAGTTGATGTTTTCTGTATTGAAAACAGAAAATACAGTGGTGCAGTAGTTAAAACTGCAGTGAAGACTGCTCACCACCTGAGTTCAGTCTTGGGCTCAAGGTTGATTCAGTCTTCCATCCTTCCGAGATTGGTGAATAGGATACCTAACTTGCTGTTAGTGGGAATGTATAGTCTGTACAATATAAGTAAATTAGAAACCCCCCATAGAGAGCTTAAAGCACCGTGTGTGTGTGTGTGTGTGTGTGTGTGTATGTATATATATGTATATATATGTGTGTGTGTGTATATATATATATCCCAGTAGACAGCCAAGTAACTGGCTCAGGGATTTGCAGCTGAGCTCAGCCCCACCTCTCACTGCAGAACATTTACTTTCACAAATAATAGGCAAACCACATGCCATCATAAACTTTTGCAGCAATTTTTTTCCTCACATGAAATTCCCTTTCTTGGAGTGTGCCATTTTAAATGTGATAAGGTTCATCTTAATTGCTTTTAATATGTGTGGGAGCAAAAGCACGTTTGAAGACAATAGCTTCATTTTAAGAGTGAAATGAGTGGTTCCCACAGCAAGTGTCTTGCTGCTGCTGTTTCTTCTATCTTTCCCTCTCCTTTAGCACTTGAATCTAAACAATAAAGATTAAATCAAACGAAACAAGGGCTGAATCAAAAAGGAAACATTTTTAGCCCCCTTACCCTTTCCTTTAGCTTGAGCCCCAGGTGCTTCCATCGTTTTCATAGGTATGTTGCTGCTTTTATGCATCTTGATGAGGTTTTATGCTTGCTTTATATTATATTTTTAAGGCCTTGTTGTAATGCATAAAGTGGGGCTGAATATATAACTTTAATTGGAAACAAGGGCTGAATCAAAAAGGAAACATTTTTAGCCCCCTTACCCTTTCCTTTAGCTTGAGCCCCAGGTGCTTCCATCGTTTTCATAGGTATGTTGCTGCTTTTATGCATCTTGATGAGGTTTTATGCTTGCTTTATATTATATTTTTAAGGCCTTGTTGTAATGCATAAAGTGGGGCTGAATATATAACTTTAATTGGAAATTGTTTAAAGTTTAAGGTCCCCCCCCCCCCGTTNCATTTTCATAACCCTTTGAAAAAAAATCATCTCTTTCCAGAGGGTGAAAGACTTGATACAAAAATGAAGAGGCTGGAATCAAAGTATGCTCCACTCCATCTTGTTCCTCTGATTGAGAGACTAGGAACACCACAGGTACAGCTGCTTTTCTTTTAAAGACAAAAAATTTATAACGTTCACATTATAAAAATCATGACTTGTTGGTTCGTTCCTCAGGGCCTATGTATGTGTGGGCACAGCAGCTTTTAGGGGTGCACAACTACAGTCAGGGAGACAAGTCCATTGTGACTTCTGGATGGAGTAGAAAGAACACCACTGTAACAGCACAGGATTCTTACCCAGGGGACTCACATTAAATTTCAGGGAGTTGGCTGACATATATTGTAACCTTTAACAAAAGCCATTTGTTCTCTTGTGATTCACTGAGCAAAGCAAAGCAAACCCCAGAGCTGATTTAAGCTGCTTTTGATCAGAATTGTGATAGAATACTAGTTCCCAGAAGAAAATTGCCCTCTTGCTCAGCTGCCATTCTTATTGTGTATGAAAGAGGTATCTTAGATCATGCTAGGAGTATGGCTGAATGATTGTCAGTATCTGGCACCATTTTGTTCAGAGGTGGCCATCTTAATGTAAGAGTGATACAGTTTCAGAAGCAGAAAAGCAAGAACCTTTCATCTGTATGTTTGAAGCCAGAGTTAGACTGGTTTACCAATTCTGCATAGCTGATATCTTGTTTATATCGTTCTCACTTAGTATTTTTTTCTTTGGTTGCAAACATAGCAAATTGCCATAGCAAGAGAAGGAGACCTGTTGACCAAAGAGCGCCTCTGCTGTGGGCTGTCTATGTTTGAAGTCATCTTAACCAGGATCCGGACCTTCCTGGATGACCCAATCTGGCGTGGCCCTCTCCCCAGCAACGGTGTGATGCATGTAGATGAGTGTGTGGAATTTCACCGCCTCTGGAGTGCAATGCAGTTTGTATACTGTATTCCCGTAGGAACACATGAATTTACTGTGGAGTATGTGTCAGTGCTTGTCTTCTATTTAGCAGTGCTTTGTTTATATTTCCCCAGTTAGAAATAGACACAGCCAAGGAAATAATGCATTTCAGAATTTTTGATCACATAGCAATTGGAGAAGTAAAAGGACAAGTTATATCTAAGTGCACCCGAGAAGGGAAGGGAAGCCTTGTAATCAACATAGAACTGTTCTTACTAAAATGTTAGATGTATCTTTTAAATGCTTGTCAGTCAATGTAGTAGGTTCCAACCTATTCACCAGGGTAGTACTGTGTGTTTATTAGTGACTTTGGATCAGCCAGAACTCCATTGAGTTCTTCTACAAGGCAGTTCTAAAAACTGGGTCAACACAAACAAAAATTATAATCTTGAATCTGGACTGTGAATCATCACCAGGTATGGCGCAGTTGTAGCAGATGGTCTGCTGTGGCTCCATGCTAAATTTGAGGGTGTTTGGGCAAAGGGGTGGTTATGAATTTTTAAAAGTAAAACTGTGCCCTCTCCCTGGACAGAAACAAGCAACCTCAAAGATTTAAAACAGATCAAATAAATTGGAAAAAAAATTACTTATCTTGAAAGAGATTTGGAAGGAACCTAGGCTATGTGGGCTGAAATACTGATCCTCATAAAAGGCCTTTCAAAAGGGGTTGGCCCCACCCACTTTTTTTATTTGGAAGGAACCCAGGCTATGTGGGATGAAATACTGATCCTCAAAAAAAGCCTTTCAAAAGGTGAAAAATGACCACTTTCTTATACGACTGAGCATGTATGGAAGAGGCTTAGCAGCAAGAGCACTTCAAAGTAGAAAACGTTGCAGCTTCATGGCCTGTGAAGGGAGATGTTTGGATGGAATGAAAAGTCACAGAATAGTCAAAAGACAGGTTTTCTTTGAAGAGTAAAAAAATAAAAATAAAACCAAGCTTGCTTTAAAGAAAATAATAGAATGACAATCCTCTAGAAAGGCACATTTTGTGATGCATCTCTAGGGAATTAGCATACAATTTTGTAAGGCATATTGAAAATATATTTTCAAAGGCTTTCATGGGCAGGATCCGCTGGTGGTTGCGGCATACAATTTTGTAAGGCATATTGAAAATGTGTTTTCAAAGGCTTTCATGGGCAGGATCCACTGGTGGTTGTGGATTTTTCGGGCTATTTGGCTGTGTTCTGGAGGTTTTTCCCCCCTAACATTTTGCCGGTACCCATGACCAGCATCTTTAGAGGACAGGAGCAGAAAGAAACTGCATATATACAGTACATACAGTATGCAGGTTCTTTCTGTGTTTATGCTCACGGTTCTCACTGGGCTGGTGGCATAACAATAGTTAAGATCCCGTATTTCAGGAGTATTATTAGCAGCAGAATTAGAAGGATGTAGTCAATGGACTAGGACTCAGGAGATCTAGATTGAAATCCCCACTCAGCCACAGAAACTTCTTGGAGATAGTAATGATCCATCATTTTCACATGCCTCAGAATCCCTGTTAAGGCTGGCGTCAGTCAAGCTACTTGAAGCACATAATTATCAAACACACTCTGTTCCTGAGAACTTTGGGGAGAAGCCCATGTAAACACAAACTTGGCAGAGTACATGGGGTAGAGCCCTGGTTTCCTAGCCAGTTAAAAATTCAGGCGATATCTGGCAATGTCATTCTGTCAGCAAAATGTGTGATGTTTCTCTGTTCTGCTACAGCCATCCCCATGCTTTTGAAATCTGCTCTGGAGTGTTGGAGGGGGGACATTCAGGAATAGAGCATGGGGACTACTGGTGTTACACAAGCAGAGGCCCACTCACATCATGTTGAGCATTGTCTTAGAGCTGGTTCTTGTGTGTTTTAGCAATGTGGGGAAATAAAAACATTGGAATGCTTAGAGGAATCATTCTGTTACCTTGGACTAGCAAATCTTCAGAACATCCTCGCTTTTTAACTCTAGAAATCTTAAAAATATAGGAACCTAGCTTAGATTGATTCATACCATTGATTCATCATGACGTGTCTAATAGCAGCTTTCCAGGGTACATATAGTGCAGGGTATTTTCCAGCACTATATGTATTATCCCAAATTGAACAGGGGGGACCTCCTGCAGGCAATGCATATTCTGTGCACCTTCTCATCTGGCTCAAGTGTCTTCCCATTACATGTATCATACTGGCTTGTCTTATTTTCTCTTCAGACAATGTTTTGGAGATGGGCTGCACTGGGCTGGCTGTATGATTATTGTGCTTCTGGGACAGCAACGCCGATTTGATGTGCTAGATTTCTGCTACCACTTACTGAAAGTACAAAAGCATGATGGAAAAGATGAGATCATAAAGAATGTGGTATGTTGATAGAAGGCTATATTCTCATGTTGTTATAGTTGAATTTTACACAATAAGAAAACTTATTTTCTTTGCTAGTAAGTAGTACTAGCAAAGTAGTACTTGCTAGTAAGTAGTATGTCAGTAAAATTTACTTGACTCTATAATTTTTGGTTTTTCAGCCTTTGAAGAAAATGGTTGAAAGAATCCGCAAGTTCCAGATCCTGAATGATGAGATCATTGCTATATTGGACAAGTATTTGAAATCCGGCGATGGGGAAGGCACACCAGTGGAACATGTCCGTTGCTTCCAGCCTCCCATTCACCAGTCCTTGGCCAGCAACTAAAGAAGCTCCATGTTCCGATCCCATTTGGAAGCCACACAGTGTGTACCACATTTCCCAGGACAGATTTGATGGTTATGCTGATATTCACTGTTTTACAGTACTGTCCACACTTTCTGAAAGGAGAGGGTTTCTAGTTCTGTTTCCAAGCATAGTAACTGTACACAATTCTAGTTTTTAGACTACTTTTTGTATACTTTTTATAAAAGGCTTTGAAATGCATCCTATTTCTAGTCTTATAATCCTTTGCATTCCTCCAATGATATAATCATTTCAGAATGGACTGGTGTACAGGGTCTTCCTTCACTTATCCATTACTAACAATCAGAATGTACGGGGTGTGTACAATTAACTTGTTTTTTAAAAGCATTATGCTGCTAAGACAGCCTTTAGAGAATGTCCTCCTTTAGTAACTTCCATGAGTTTCTTTTAATCACTTTTCTCTGAAAATAGCTGCAGCACTATTATGTAATTAGCTTTGGAATAAAGCTTTTTATGGGGACTTTTTAAAAGGAGACAATAAGATAGATATTATTTTATTCTATCAAATTTGTAGAGCCAGTTCATGTGTTTAGAAATAATTATTCTTGCTGCTTTTTAAAGCTTTTCATGTAAAACTGGAAAATTAGAGTTCCATTTTCCACATCACATTGGAAGCATACAAAGCAGCATGAATTGCATTCTGGAACTATATATAGATGTGCATCTTAGTTTGACAGATATTTTTACAACTTGAATGTCACATTCTTTTCAAATTATGTTCACCCATTCTGAGAAATGGAGTCAGTTTCCTTTATAACTTTTTTCCTGATGCTAAGCTTTTGTAATATTTATGCATCTGCTTATGTGACTTGTGGCTCAGCTGTTGAATTATTCTGAAGCTAAATTTTGAATTAAAAATGTTAAAGACACACTCAGTCAAGTGATATTTTACTGACTTCTCTGCAATGTTAATATGTGTATGTTCTTAACAGTAGTTCCCAACCCTGGATCTCCAGACATTTTTGGACTACAATTTGCAGAAATCCTGGGTAGCACAACTAGTGGTAAAGGTTTCTGGGAGCTAGTCCAAGAACATCTGGGGACCTATTGCTGTAATCTTAAATTGTTTTATATAAAAGCTCAATCAACCATGTTTGAGGTGTAAGAGCTAGGTTAAATGTAAAGCAAGCTAAAGATCTATGGTAGGGGAACAACCTGTGGGATTTTTTCTTTCTGTACTTACTTTTGTTAGATGTTTCTGAACAGCCTTAAGGCTGCAGCTGGAACTGGCTGTTTTACACCTAATTCAAAACTAGTAATGTGTGTTTTTCCTAGAATTCATTACGTACAAGCATTTCTTGGGTAACAGGCTGTTTCCCCCCCCACTCATATGGGTGTATATATGAATTGCACACATGAATCTGTACATAGAAAATGACATTAGTATTGCAAGGTAGAAAGCATTTTTTCTGCCTCAAGTACATCACCAGTCCCAACTGCTGTGAAGTATTACAGATAACTGATTTATACAGTAAGATCCCCATATAGATGTTGTCAGTATCCAGTTTCACTTATCCATGGTATGAAAATATTAATACTGTATTCTAAGCCAACAGTTTTAAACTGTTGTAGATCATTTACTACTTCTAAAGTAAAGACCCTGACTTCTCTTCAGGAAGCCTTCCCTTGTTTTCTGTCTAGTTTAGAGAACCGCACATGATGTATTGCAATTCCACAATTTGCTAGTCATTCATTATTTTAACAAAGGTACATTAGTATGTATAATCTGCAAAAAAACAGTTACACTTTATGAGGTCATTGCAAATGTCACAGTAAAACTGAACTTGTGGTGAGGGCCATGCCTAGAAGCTTGCATGCTTCCTACCCACAGTGCAGCCATTAGATAATAGAATTTCATTTTTGTTCTTAATTTGCCACAATTTAACGGCTTTCCTATTTTATTCATAACTTTGCCATCCCTAAGAGGGAAGGATATTACCTGCTTTTCCGTCCCCTTCCCCTCCACCCAAACAATAGAATAAGGTTTACACAGCTCAGCCAAGTAGCACAAAAATGTTTATGTGCATCAGTCAACTAATCACTCACTGATGCAGAAATAAAGCATTTTATTTATTAAAATGGTCAATAGTGCAATAGGTCTTAAAACCATAATATTTACATGTTCACATGTAACTTAAGCAAAACATATTTTGAGGTCTTTTTAGTATTTTTCCCCCAAATGAAAAATAAGGCAAAGAAAAGCCCACCACTGTTCTTGGTCCAAGCTAGTCAAATGTAAAAACAAACGATTGTCTATACATACTGTTTAAATACATCTGATTCTGAGAAGCATTTAAAATTGATATTTCACAACAAAACACAGTTATGGAATTGCTCTTCAGATGTATTTTTAAGATGCTGACAGGTTTCCATTTCTCCTAGAAGACACTCCCTCCATCTGTACGTCACTTACACGACTTGCACTTTCTTCATCATTAAAGCGTTCATATGGGCTTGGCAAAGTACCATTTACGTCTCTCTCCTCTTTATGCAGAGACAGGGGCAAATTTGCTAGGGTGAAGTTGATGTCCTTAAAGGCATGCAACAGAAATATCCCCACTATTATAGTGAGAAAGCCACTAAATGTGCCAACGATGTCATCACCCGTCATGTTTTCCCATTCCTTGAAGAGGATAGCAGAACAAGTTAAAACTGACGTTGTGAAGAATACATAATATATTGGTGTCACAATGGAAGTGTTGAATATGTCCAGAGATCGATTTAAATAGTTGATCTGTGTGCTAACACAGATTATAAGGCTTAGTAGCAGAATCCAGGCCAAAGGGTGTTTCAGAACAGGTTTTCCAGCAAAGAGTTCCTTTATAGCAATGCCCAAGCCTTTTACACAGGAAACAGACAAAGCTCCAATGACTGAGCAGATTGTAATGTACACAAGAATGTTTGTTTGCCCGTGCCGTGGTCCCACCACAAATATCATGATTAAGGACACAATGACAATGAATGTCGCAAAGACGACAAAACCTGAAACAGAGAAGTCATATAAGTTGCAGTTGGTGCACCAGAATAATTCACATAGTAAGATTCTTTTCAAAAAGGTAACCCTTCAGGAGCCTTCATGGGGATAGGTAACTCTTTTAGCTCCAAGGGCTGCAAGCAGTAGATGGTGTGGTTCAGGGACGCTGTAGACATACATATACTTCCACATCCGTACAAGCCAGGATGGTGAGGTTTAAACTTTCATTCTTGCCTTCTGGGTAAGGGATTGCTGGGAGGGAAAAGATAAGTGCTGTCTCCCCACACTCAGCAATTGAGATCACTTTCCTTGCTGCGATTACCAGCAGGCACTGCAGCTTGTCCCTGCTATTCTCAGCTTTTATTGGCTCATCAGTGGATAGCACAGAAAAGGGGGGCAAGATGGACTGAATATAGCCTGACGGTTGCATGTATGTAATTTAAACTAAGGATGTATATGCATGACACCACTGCCTTCCCAAATGCAGTTCTAAAATGTGGAAAAATGGTAAACAATGTAAAAATATTGGACCATATCCAGTTAAAATTCAAACGCAGCATAAAGCTCTGAATGTTCCTAACCCATTTCTACAACGCAACCTTACTTTTGAGATTTGACCTCTTTTCAAAGTCATCTGCAAAACCCAGCTTATCAGCAAAATACAGAGATTTGTACTGTATTAAAGATGCTTGTAGGCCTGTCAGTGCTACTATCAATAACTTTATGCTGAAGACTTAGTAAAGCCTGCAGAAATATATTTTAGAACTGTGGCAGCTGAGCCCAGTATTCCTCCACATTAATGCTTAGATCACAGCTGCAAAACTGTAACTCACCAACCCAACTCCAGAAAAGGAGAACATAGCAGGAAAAGCTCAAGCATACTGCTTCATACAGAAGCACAAAACTGAACAAGCAGTACAGTTCTTAAATAACGAGTGAATACTTACATTTGCTTTTCATACACTTAAATAAACCCCAGTTCACTTTAACTACCTACACTGCTGCCATCCACCCCCTTGGAGCTATAGATCAATCAATTGGCATCCCCTTGAACTGTCTGTCACTCTTTTGCTTAATACTTTATTGAGAAGATCATCACATTCTCTCACCTGGATCACCTAGCTTGTGGGATATTTCATCCAATGTTTCTACTTCTTCTTCTTGGGGTGCATGAATGACCATGACAGTTGAACCCAGAATACTTAACAAACACCCAATTTTCCCATGAAGATTTAGCTTTTCATTTAAAAAGTATGATGAAAGAATGGCGCTGAAACATACAAAAAAATCAGAGGTCAAACCCTGCTCTTAAATTATTTTACATTGTTTGGGCAATATAGAGTATAATGGACTCCGAGACTACACCCCCCTCCCCCAGATAACACCAAGGCAGCTTCCTTTTTTGAGAAGAAGCTAGGCTAGAGCCAGGCCACAGAGCCTCTCAGCTGTATGCCCTTCTTCAACTGAGCAAAATGTAGGTGTGTGTGGACTGAAATCCAGAATTCTGTCTAGAGATTCTTTTGAGAAGTTGAAAGTTCAAAAAAAATCTGAACTGCAGATTCCAAGTGAATGATACAAAAATTGTGACACTTCATTCTCTCTCAAAGCGAAATAACAAATTAATAAATTTGAATTAATGCAGATTTGAACTAACAGTGTTAACTGTATAAATAAACTTTCCATTGGCTTGAACTACTGTGAGAAGAATTCTTCTTAACAGCAGAAAGGTCCTGGAAATTACTGATTTAGGTTGCAATTCTATGCACCTCCCTGGGAGTAAGCTCACTGCATAGAATGGAACTATCAAGTACACAGACAGATGATTTTGCTTTCAGTATCAATGAGCAAAAATGCAACCCAGGAATGTAGACAGATTATAGAACAGTCAATATCAAAGTGACATGCTGACTGGAAAGCAAACCCATAAATGTTTTAGGAACACAGAATAGTGATAATCTAAATTTAAGTTGCATGAAGAACTGTCTAGAACCACAGTAAAGTGACTTTTTTAAAAAAAGCTTGAGAAGGCTATTCAGGGTGAATGAGGAAGAGAAAAGAGACTTAAAAGAAGTCATTTATGTATTTCCCATTTTCTAACTCATTGGCTCACTGGATGCCTTTCATATAAAACAAAACATTCATTTACAGAATGAATGGTTGGAGAATCATTTACATGTGACCTTCACCAGCACAGAAAGTCTCAACACACGTACTGTACATGAAACCTCTTCTAAGCAGATACTACAACGCAGTTCTGCCTCTACAAAGGTATCATATATCTTACCTTACAAGAACACTGAGAGCTCCTAATGGAGTTACCAAGGTAGCTGGTGCAAATGCATAAGCAGCAAAGTTAGCAACTTCACCAGCTCCCACTGCAAATTAAGAAACACAGGGCAAACATTAGACAAAAAAGAATCTCAAACTAACCATTCCAGTCAACAATACAAACACTGCATCTTTCATCAGAATGGAAAGATAAGAGCAGCAGGCCTCAGAAATACAAATACATTTCAAGTTTGGGGTTTTTTTAGAATTCTTGTTACTGCATTCCTACTTTAGATAAAAATAATTCTTGCAAACGGAATATGTTTTCAATACATGAAAGTACTGAATTTTAATTCAACATCTAAACTTATCTAAATTTTATTAACATAGATGTTACCAGACTGAAGTGCATTGAACTTTTATCAGTAATTCTTTCCAGTCTGAATGACATCTACATGTAGCATCAGATACACCAGGAAGACTCCTCTCCCACAGCCTTTTTAGCCTACAGCCCATTGGGTCATTCATTCTCTAGTCTAATGGACTGTTCTTGTCATTCAATCCTTCAGTTCTTTCATCTCAAGTACTTTTCCACAGTTCCTTTCTGCCTCTTCCTACTTATACCAATTCACTTTACTGTAGAGGTAAGGATCCTTTCAGCTTCCAGATGTTCTGGAATTTAATTTGCAAAAGGACCAGCCAGCATGCCACACACCAAAAGATTATGGAAGCTGTCATTCAATATATCTGGTTGTCCAAAGATCCCCAGGGCATACGTCACTTTTAGTGTCTCCAGTTACTTACTTGACAGAAGTCCAGCCCACCATAGCCACTCTTTCAGGTAAGCATGACCACCTTGTCCTGTGTTTTTTAAAAAGAAAAAAGGTACATTAGAGATCATTATAATTCAGGTTCCAAATGTAAAGCTCTGTATACAGACTAGGGTGTAAGGAGCCACTTCATGTATGCCCAAAGATTTCTGTGTTCCTGAGTGCTTTTTAAAAATAACACTTTCATCCTTTTAATTAAAATCATAAACTGATTTCAAAGCTCCATCAGTTTCTGAAGATGTTTGCCATGAGAACCATCAGGGCAGAAGAAAGTCCCATATATTCTTCGACATTCAGGACTAGTTGCCTGGGTCTGTGGCTCTCAGAACAGTACAAAAACTTCCACATCTAAACTTCAAGCTTTTGCTGACACATAAACAACAGACTGGATTCTACACCATGAATAATTCCATCTCTATATGTTGCTCTTTGTTAACAGATGTTCCTGGTACTATGCAAATTATTTTAAACACATACATTTTTAAAAAGTTTTAAGAACAGCTGAAAGTTGTGTGAGATTCAGAGTTAGAGAGCAACCCTACACTCCTTGGAAAGGCAGCTTTAGACCATAGGAAGCTGTGGGCCTCCTGCTCCGCATGCAAGGAGAAAGGTCAGCAGGAGAGGCTACCACTACTGTTCCAAGAAGGAAAAGAAGAAGAAGAAAACAAATAATGCATAGGGAGTGGGGAAACACGTGGAAACTGACACCACCTTCTGCCTGACAAGCAATAGCTCCTTGCAAAACTAATTCATCCACCTCAACCACAAACTATGTCCAGTCCCTGGAGTGGTAGGATTTCTTGCTTTCTCATGCTTTAGTTTCACTGAAATTAATAGAACAAATGAGAAATGGGTAAGTTAAGTAATTAATCTTATTGGGACTGTGGTGTGAACAACTTAGTCCTGATCCAACCTAACTGCATTTGGAACTCATCACTCCCTTAATGCACTGCTCTGTAAAATACGAAGGCCATGACATTTCCATATACGTAAATATGGTACAGAGAAGTCATACTGTGGCTTTTTAAACTCACATGGAAAAATTACCTGCAAGGAAATGCATAATTACATACCACAATATGTATACATTTTTAAATTTTCAGAGGAGAATATGTACCTTAGTTTTTAAAAAATTAACAATGTTTGGGAGTAAGACCGAGTTGGGAGAGTCCACAGGCACAATGAAAGAGAAGGTGGTACTGTACTTCTAGAACTCTGGAAAAAGGTGTTGACTTAGTGTTAGAGTTTAATACTCCAGCTTATCTGTAACATGCTTCCTCTGATCTCCATACCTGGCTAAGGGGAAAGCATCTTTCCATATACATACTGAGCCACTCAGCGTGCCTGGGCACATCTGACATCTTTCTCACATTGTGGTGTCCTTAACTGAGACTCTGAAGGAAAAACAGGAGGTTGCCTCCCTCCTCCCAGCTCTCCCTAAAACCGTATTAGCTGGGAAATATATATTTTTTAAAAACAGAAACGGTGCCAAATTTTTTAAACTGTGCATTTTGTCCCTTTTACCAAATTCTGTGTGAAATCTTGGGGAAAGTATGTTATGTATATTCATGTAAAAATAGCTTATGTAGCTGACAAAAATGCAAGCAAGCCAAGGACTTCACTCAAAGATCAGTATCTCTTATGCATATATATAAATGTGTATGCATGTGTCACTGTTTAACCCACCTGCTCTCATGGAGCCCTTCCCGGCCAGTCGAAGAAGACCTTTTTTCTTCAGGATGAAACTCCCACCAATGAAAAGGCTGGAGCTCATTGCCAGCACGAGACCAATGTAGAAATCATATTTTCCATTATTTTCAATCATTTCGTCAGTTGCTGAAGCATTCCAAACTGTCACGTTGATCAAGGAACAGAGCTGTTGCCAAAACTGGCTGTCACGGGATCCCAAATTGAAACCTACAATACAAAAATATAACACAGAAATGTACCTTAACATTCATTACGATGGCTAAATCCATTGTTCTATGTACAGAATGTACCCCAGATGTCCCAGCTGATTTGAAAAGAAGAGGGAAGTCCACATATATTGTAATGACTACTGGGTACATGCAACTAGTGAAGTGCAAATGAGTTCTCCCAGAGACCAAAAACAAAACAATACCCAAACCTATTATGTACATGAGGCCCAGTGCCTAAAATAACTGCTGTCACAGTGCATACTTAGTTCATAATGGAAAGGAACTGGTCCCATTATGATTAGCAACAGAGTCAGTGTCACTCCTCTAGAATTACAATGCTGATACAGAATAAGTGAAATAAATTTAGAAGCTTTGCGAAGATGACAGTGAGTAAAGTGAGTCCTTAGGAAACAGACAGCAGTAGATGAAACCAAAGCAGATATCTTAGGTATACTTACGAGACACCAATATTGATAATATAAAGATTTAAAGCAAAATGCTAGATGACAGTTAAACCTGGTGCTAATATGGATACCATTCATATGGTATTTTCTGCTGCTTTAATCAATGTGTTCTATATATACCAAAAACAATCTCAATTTTCTAGAGACCAATGCTTACACAATTGAAACAGTACCACCTATACGCAAAGGTTATTAGTAGGCTCAGAATTTGCAGAAGAAAATACAGTAACTTACTTTCCATTTATGCTGATACCTAGCTGTAGAGCCAGAGGTTGTAAATGCAATAGACAGACAGACAGACAGACAGACATCTTTGGAAAAGATTCCTAATCTGGAGAGGACTAAAACTACCCAATAAAGATCAAGTATGTTCCATTACCACAGAATTCCAACAGACAGTTGAGGAGTAAAAAATAGGGGTGGATGGGTCTGCAAACAGAGAAGGGCACAGCTGGATGGCATCCCATATCAAAGCAAAGCAAAGTGTGCTGCTTATATACCGCCCCATAGTGCTTCAAGCACACTCTGGGCAGTTTACAAGTTAATTATGCAGGCTAAACATTGCCGCCCCCCGCCCCCCAGCGAGTTGGGTACTCATTTTACCGACCTTGGAAGGATAGAAGGCTGAGTCAACCTTGAGCCGGCTACCTGGGATTGAACCCCAGGTCATGAGCACAGTTTTAGCTGCAGTACAGCAGTTTAACCTCTGGGCCACGAGGCTCTTCTTCAGACTATTTCATTACACATCCAGGTTGTTCCTATGCAATACATAACAGCACGTGCAGAGTGCGAAATACGTGCTCCTATAAAATCCTTGGCCCAAGTCCACGTTTTGACTGGCAAAATCTCTTGTGATGTCATGCAGAATGTGCTTTTTGGTGAGCACGGGGCAGGAAAAAAAGTGCCTCCAACAGCCAGATCCGCAAGAGCTACCTTAGAAGTACTAATGGTAGAATGCAATTAAATCATGCCAATAGAACATAAAGAAAAGGCATGATGCAGAAGGCTGTTGGAAGGGTTCTGGAATTTTGTTATTCCCTTTTTCATTGCAGAGAAAAGCATGGAGAGATCTGCACAGTCTCACTCCTTCCCATGGATCAGTCTGGATGTTTCTTGGATAAACAAAACAAAACAAAACAAAACAACACAACAACAACAACAACAACAACAACAACAACAACAACAACAACAACAACAACAACAACAACAACAACAACAACAACAATAATGTGCTGTCAAGTAGATTCTAACTTGTGGCAACCTTTTCCAGGCTTTTCTAGATAGACAATATTGAGAAGAGGTTTACCGTTCCCTTCTTTTGGGGTGGGGGCATCCTGGGGCTGTGCAGACTGCCCATAGTGATAAAGGCTGTCTCTTCTCCTTGGGAGGCATGATGGGGAATTGAACACCCAAAGTCTGGCTTCGCAGCCAAATACAGTACCTAGACCACTAAGATTTCTAGTTATAAAAATAAAGCTACTAGAAAAAAGAATTGTACTGCATTACCACTTCAACATGCTTGAGATTACTTTTACAAAACAGTAAATAAGTTATTTTCTTCTGCAAGTCTTTTGATGCCTTCATTGCTCTTAGTTAAAAAGAGATATCACTCCAAAAAGCACACCCAAATCAATGTCTGAGTCAGAAATCTCAACCCTAACTTGTTCAGCAAAGGCCTGATCATGTAATGTGAGATTTGGAATAAATAAAGCCAATTATTTCCTGTTCAATGGGAAATTCATACAAGTCAGTACTAGACTGATCTACTAAGGAACAAACACTTTCTTCTTCCAGAACAGAACATCCAACCTAAGAAACAGTGTATTTTCATGGTGCCCTCTCTATGAAGCTAAGGTATAACCTTGAAAGAACCTTAAGCAAGGTGAGGGTCCTTTTTCTGTTCACTGACCAAATTCCAAACTGGTAAACATCCTGATGAGGTGTACAACATTCCATTTGTGGGTGAGAGCAAAGGTAGAAAGGGCAGAATGGGTAGAGCTAACATGTAATTCTTACTCATCTTAAATCTCAGAAGGAAGCAGTCAAGAAAATAATCTCTTGCCTGACAAACACATTTGGTAAAAAGAAATTCTAAGTACAAAGACAAAAAAAGTTTGGCCTTTAAAATTCAATATTACTACTATAGCCTTAGGAAGCAAGGGTTTTTTAACAACTAGTTTTCACAACTTCATGCTCATAAATAAAATATTTAAACATACAGCAAAGTCAGTACAAATGAAATCTAGATCTGCATTTCATTTTCTGTTTGTGGTTTTGTACTATTAAATTTTATGCCAGAACTTATTTTCTGTGGCATTCACATCATGACCATCCTCAAACAACCTTCACTGGCATTCATCAACAGTACCATGTGGCTCGAGGGTTTGTTGATATGGTCACCTGATACCATCTGGTTGGGGGTAGGACTAGAAGAGGGGACAGATGTAAGATATCTAACCTCTGTTCTCCTATGTGGGCATGTTCTACCCCTACCGCCATTCCTTCCCCTGCCCAGCACTACCTCAATGGCGGCCCCTTCCTGTTTCCTCAGATCCACTGTGAGTCTCTACATACGTAACCTGATGGCAACTGATAATCACAATAAAAACCCCTTCTAAAATCCTTTCTAAAGCCCCTTCTCTTTCCCCCCCCCACAAGCCAGGTGGCTGATGTTGAGGAGGGGTGGGGCAGCCAGAGGCAATGAGGGCCCACTCCTGCAAGGCCAAGGGAGTCAAAGCCAAACTCCCCCTGGAAGGCTGGCAACTGGCAGCAGCACAGCCACACTGTCTCTCACTCACTGCCTGAGGGATGGCAGATGATGAAGACTCCCCTGAGGGCAGGAATGCTAGTCTGGCAAAAATGCACTGGCAAAAATCTTAGTGAGTTTTTACATTACCAACACAACTGGCATAACTCTCACTGGCAAACTGTCATAAGCTAACAATTTAGCATAGGTACTTTCTGCTGCGTCCCGAGTCATGTGGCTTGGTGCACAACAGCTAATGCCTATGTTACCTTCTTTGCTTGTGATAAATCTGCCAATAAAACCTACACCAACTGCATTACTATATGCCAAAGGGAATAAATAACAGAAAGTTTGCTTATTCATGGGTCTCCAAAATTTGAAGGGGACTTGATGGCACATGACAACAATGAGATAAATAAACGAACTCTTCATTTAAATTTAAAAACGTATAATCTTCTAATTTCCATAAGATGCATGATACAGGGATACTGAAAGTGAATTACTATTACAAATAGACCCATATTTATATTTCAGTTATTGGTATTTATACACATAGTCATATGGCCAAAGACAAGACAACATCATAAAGCAAACCAGAGTGGATTTGATTTAAATCAAACTGATATTTGAGCAAACAAATATTTTGTACTTTTTTAAAAAAATCAATGATTTGTTCAAGGAAATGAGCTAATAAAAACAATACTAGACATCAAAAGTTCACTTATTCCAAGAAAAAGATGGTAAGTCTGTTCCAACAGGTCAAGCACTGGATATGCATGGGCCGAAACAAGCTGCACATATGTGTGGTGTCAATACTGAATAAAACTACACAATAAATTTTAGTTTTTGATGGCGGGTTTGCTGATCTTTCACAGGTAGAGTGCAGAAGTGTCTGTTCAGTTGGCACATGTGTCACACCAACTGGGCAAATGTTGTATGAAGAACATCTTCAACAAACTTTGGTGAATTGACCTCCAAGAGCCTTCTAAAGCCTGGCTCTCAAAAAATGCCTTAGATCATCTTACTGGTTTCTCCAGCCACTAGAAATTGTTAAAAATTTTGTGGCCTATCATACAAGCCAAGACATGAATCTGATGCACTACTTTGCCTCAGTAGTTCTTCTGATTTAGCCATTCTGTAGAAGGGCATACTGTTTAGTGTGGTCTGACAAAGAGCTCAAGCACTTCATTTATGGGTATTGTTGTTGTTCAGTCGTTTAGTCGTGTCCGACTCTTCGTGACCCCATGGACCAGAGCACGCCAGGCCCTCCTATCTTCCACCGCCTCCCGGAGTTGTGTCAAATTCATGTTGGTTGCTTCGATGACACTCCATCTCATCCTTGGTCGTCCCCTTCTCCTCTTGCCTTCACACTTTCCCAACATCAAAGTCTTTTCCAAGGAGTCTTCTCTTCTCATGAGATGGCCAAAGTACTGGAGCCTCAGCTTCAGGATCTGTCCTTCCAATGAGCACTCGGGGTTGATTTCCTTTAGAATTGATAGGTTTGTTCTCTTTGCAGTCCAGGGAACTCTCAAGAGTCTCCTCCAGCACCACAATTCAAAGGCATCAATTCTTCGGCGGTCAGCTTTCTTTATGGTCCAGCTCTCACTTCCATACATCAAGACAGGAAAAACCATAGCTTTACTATGCGGACTTTTGTTGGCAAGATGATGTCTCTGCTTTTTAAGATGCTATCAAGGTTTGTCATTGCTTTCCTCCCAAGAAGCAGGCATCTTTTAATTTCGGGGCTGCTGTCTCCATCTGCAGTGATCATGGAGCCCAAGAAAGTAA